TGCAATACATAAAAAGCTCTCACTGGTGCCAACCGCACGCGTGTGTTTCCATCTGTCACTGTCGATCGTGAATTTGGTTGACACTCCTATTATAGAGAAAGGGTGAATAGTGATATTAAAGTATTTCTTCTAATTAATTTCCTTTCAATGTGCATGAATCCGTGCACTGGGCCCCTAGTTTTTTCATAATTCTTTAGCCAGGACTGACACTTTCTATGATTAAGTGAATTCAACTGTATGGTTTCAGAAATACACAAAACCTAGAATAAATATTCCTATGTCTTCCTTTGTTTCCCGTCTGTAACTTCACATCCCCTACTCCCCAATAGCTCAAAGAACACAAATGCCACTTCCCACAACTCTTACAGAGGCTCCCAGCTCTCCTCGCGAAAGTTTAACACAGCTGGACATGAAACCAAAAGAAAATGGGGAAATGTCCTTCCTCGGTTCTCCCCACTGCCCACATTCCCACTTCCTGGGGCCCAGTGCCGGCTTTTGCATGAGGCCAACCCTGATTATCTGTAGGCACAGGGGCCACGGCTAATTTTCTTCTTCTTTTTAATATCATGAATTTCATTACAGCATCATAATTTGATTGTAGATCATTTAAGAGTTCTGAAACCCGTTAACATAAATTCCATAAGTACTTTTAATTATTAACAGACAGCCGACATACATAACGTAATTTTAAATATGTCTAAGGGCTGATTTTCTGAACTTGTTTTCAGCACAGCAGACCATCCTCATTTCAAACTAAAAGCCCCGCCATGCTTCTCACCTGCTCAAGATGCAGCCGCTCCCCATCTCCCTAAAAGCTAGCTGCTGCCATAAGCACTGATGCGGACAGATGCTGGCCATCAATACGGAGGCCCAGACCCCGGGGTGAGAAGTGGCCGGAGGCAAGTCTTGATAAACAGCTCAAATTGGCTCTTACTCCACAGGTGACTCCTAGTTTATCTGGGTAATTGTAAAGGGCATTTTACAGCAAATCAATTAAATGAAAATCTTTTAAACCCTTTTTAAATGGAGGATAAGGGGGAAGCCAGAGAGGGTCAACCTTTGTAAGCTAACAGGTGATTTTAATTGGAACCAGCAGCGTGACACCACGTTTTTTGACCCATTCGGTAAAGGCAGAGAAAGAAATCAATAAATTTCCATCAGCATTGGCCCTCCTGGAGTCTTATAAGTAGAATGGAGACACGAACCCCACTTAATGGCTTCATCAAGCACCTCCCTGATTCTCTAACAGAATTAAACAGGTTGCAGGTCTCTCACTGTTCTCCTCAAAATGCCCGGGTGCTGGCGGCCTGAGGCGAGGTGGGTGCCATCCTGTCTCTGTAAGCACAGGCTCCCTGCTACCCCCTCCCCCCCACTTCCTCCACCCCCAACCACCTAGTCCTGACAAGCCCCTGAGGCGGTCCTGAGTCAGCAGTGGGAACCCACACACCAGGTCCACTCCGGAAACAGGTCCTCTGAGCATCCAGGGGCCTCAGGCAGGCCCCCGAACCTCAGCCACTGACCAGCTGTGTGACCTAGGGACATTCCTTACTCTCCCAATAGGCCTCTTGTCATCTTCACACGGGGCAAATGACACCAACCCCTACCTCACTGGGCGGTTGTGAGATTCAAGGTTGTTGTATATCAACATGCTTAAAAGTTCCTGCAAAGATCTGAACAGAAACATTTAAGTGGCCGCCGGGCACGTGAGAGGCACCAACGCCCGCGGCATGAAAGCAGCACAGAACCACCTGCCGCGGTGCTGCTCTCCGCCCGTCAGACCGCAGAAACCCCAACGCTTGTGAGAATAGCCTGTTAACTAAGAGGTGGGGAGACCGCCGCTCATTCGTTGTTTGTTTTATTAAAATCTTTATTGCTGAAGTATTGCAGAGGTCCGCCTTTCCCCCCATTAACTTCTTCCCGCCTGCTCCCTCCCCCGAGGCGACACTCATCCGCTGTTGCTGGAGATCCGGAAAGGCAAAGCCCTGGTAGCAGGGGCTCTATAAGCACAGGTTCATACACACCCGGGACATATGCGCATGTACTGCCTGACCCGGAAACCTCGCTAGGAACCATCCATCCTAAAGATGCACAGACCAACATTCAAAATAACCGACCCACACAGTTCATGTTTGCGGCATTAGCTGCAGTTGTGAAGGCGAGGAGGACACAGCGCGGGTGCCCTCAGCTGTGAAGCATGGCTGCTGCCCGCGGTGCAGCGAGGTGAGGCTATTGGAGCAGAGGCGGGACTGTGAGCTGGAGGACAGGACATGCGAAGAGGGAAAAGCAAGCAGTGGAGCATATGTGTATAGAGAATGCCACCTTTTTGTACAAAATAAAAGAGGAAACGAGTGCAAATATACGTATGGATTTGCTTGTATTGGCAAAAACAAACACTGGAAAAGTAGATCAAAAGCCAACAAAAGTGGGGAGGATTGGCAGGAGCATAGCTGAAAGCGGGAATATACCTTTAAATAAGACTTCAGAAACATCAATGGTTTATCTATTAAAAAAACGATACCATAGAAAAACATAATCCCTAACGATTAAAGATGAACAAAATTATAAGTCAGTTTGATGAATAAACACTCAGAGAAAATCATTATTCCAAGTGCCTTTAGGCCACGGCAATAGAGGAGGATATTCTAACAATGAGTAAAGCTGGAGAGAAACTTTAAACCTCACTTGGTAGTCTAATTATTAGCAACAACACTAGTTTGATTATTTTAAAACTATTTTATTTGTTGTAGAATAATGCTAATAAGTAATTATTGTACTAAAGTTTTCAGGAACAAAGATTTTCAATGTATGGAAGAAGGATTAAAGGATAAATTTGTAGATGTTAGTTAAGATCTTGGCAGATAGAGGTGATGCAATAAATTCTAACTTCTGCCTTTTTCTCCTTTGGGGCGCGGGAGGACACACTCTCCCTGGGGGACCAAGTGGTTCCGGAACAGCAAATCTCCCCTTTGCTTGGGGCTCTTTTCCTGAGCATCTAACAAGCAACAGAAATTGCTGCGCTGCCAGGAGGCGGGAAATGACCTCTTAGGTCGGAAAATAGTCACGAGATCAAAACATTTTGGGGAGGGCCCTGGAGCAGGGCAGCCTGGGGCCTAAAACAACCACGATGCCTTATTGCACAGTTTTGTGGATTTGTTTCTCCGGCTCTCTCATGTGACAACATTCGGCTGGTGGACATGGGCTGGGCTCTCTGGAAGGCGGAGGAGGCTGGGCCTCCCTCCCTCGGATCTTCATCCCCCAGAGGCCAGGCCAGGCTCCCTCGGGGCGGGAAAGGTCCGGGAGGGCAGGAGGGGAGCTGGAGCTGTCTGGGCAGCTCACTTCACTTCCGCTAGATTCTGCTGGTCCAAAAATAGCGCCAGGATGTCCCAGTGCCAGGCTGCGAGACAGTCTTCACCCCTGACCGGGAAAGGCCAACGATCATTTGTATCTTCATTTATGTCTCTTGTGTATTCGTGAAGTCCACCCTCCAGCCACAATCATCTGCAGCTCCTCTTGTCAAGAAATGGAGTCCCCCGTCTCTGCCCCTCGACTCCGGCCTGGCAGCATGTCCCGAGTGGGAGAGCGCCAGGAGCGCTGGGCTGCAGAGTCTGAGCAAGGCCTCGCCCTCGCCCTCACCCTCTTGGCACTGCCTTTGCCACGGGAAAAGCCTGGCAGATGCCAGGACGAGGCAAGCCCACAAGAAAGAACGCCCCGCAGAGGCTCAGAGCCGCGACACGCCACCTGGATGCAGCAGAGAAGCAGTAAACTGTTTCAGACTCAGCGCCAGGCTGTGGCTCACACCGCGATGGTAGCTGCTGTGGGCACAGAAGCTGCGCACAGTCACCAACACGCCGGCTCCAGCGTCTGGTGAACAGATCTCTGGGCTCCAAGGTCCAGGCAGGAGTCTGAGGCCACGTCTCCCAGCACAGGCAGGGGACCTAGGAGTCACCCAAGTTGATACCTCCCATCCTCTCCGTGCTGTGCTCCAAGGAGTTTGCTGCCTCTGCTTTTATTTATCTTATTATATATTGTTTATTTTTTAATATATTTTTATTGAGTTCAGAGAGGAAGGGAGAGGGAGAGAGAGATAGAAACATCAGTGATGAGTGAGAATCATTGATTGGCTGCCCCCTGCACGCCCCACACTGAGAATCCAGCCCGCAACCTAAACATGTGCCCTTGACCGGAATCAAACCCAGGACCCTTCAGTCCAAAGGCTGATGCTCTATCCATTGAGCCATAACGGCTAAGGCTGTCTCTGCTTTTAATCTTCAAACCCAAGCCCAGGTAGAATAATTCTCCTTCCTTGCTTCCCGTTAACATGGCTGAGAAACCCTG